AGAAATCGATAAAAGAAATTACTTCACCTATCCTATTTTATTTACTTCTGACTTATTGATTCCGGTATCATACGACCGAACTGCTTGATACCTCTTCCGTTGAATGATGATGTACTTAATTTTTTCAACCTTTCTTCCGTTCACAACGGTAGTTGGATCAGTGTATTCGTCATTTTGTAATCATCCGCATCAATCATTACTACATACACTGTTGTGTGCGGTAATGATCGATGTGGATGGATATGGATGAATATCATTCAAATACTTTCGTGACGAGAACAAAAGTGAAGAAAACATCATTACACTGTCATGTAACTGATTTGAAGCCACATAGCTTGATGGGCTCAGAAGAATTGCTAGTAGTGCGAAAAGCAAGCAACTGCCCACAACTGCATTTGGGTGTTGGACATCTGAGATATGTTTTTTGAACGTGTTATTTGACAAAAGATTAATACTGAAACACCAATATGTCGAAAAAGAAACAGCAAATAAAACAAAGACATTACAATCAAAACAAAACAACACAACAATAAAACAGGAACGCGGATAATAAAACGACAATAATACATTTTATAGGTTGATCTCAATGCCAAAATCCACCATTCAAATGGCATCGATCTGAATTAATGGAGCAATGGATACTTCGGTATCTTCGTTTTTAAACAGTAAATATTTCTTGCGAAATTAATATCTGATGGAAGGTTACTCCATGACTCTATTTATCAGTACGAAAATAAGTGTTGAGTGATATCATAGCATTATTTGCAAGTGAACGAATGGAGACGTCATTCATTATAAGTATATTCAAAATAATAATGGTCAGATACAGTGGCGTAGCCGTGACTTTTTCGGAAGCGAGGAGGATGGACGCAAAATGGTTTGGTTCAAAAATATCAGAATTTTGAAGTTGGTCACTTATATATCATACAAAGTCACTGTTTTGAGGTGATTACTGTTATGCAAAGTCACTGTTAAGCAAAGGCTCGGTGAAGCGATTGCGTAGTTTTTCAATCCATTCGATCGTTTATTTGTTGAACAATCGAAGATTGCACCATGATCTCGAGCGAGCACCGTTCGGAAGTGAGTGCACACTTCATCTGTGCCTATACACTGGCATCTGGCATATCGGTCTCTTTCCATACACCAAGTGCCAATATAATGGCGATGAGAAGCACTCCGATTGCGATAAACGCTAAATGAAGTGTTGCGTTGATGAAAGCAACCCAATACGTTGTTGAATCACAATAGTGCATTTCAAACATTGCATCCTGAAAATGCACGTACTGTCGAGCACCATAGGTCCAGATACATCCTGAAATTACGGGTTATCAGCACGGCTGTGGAACGATGAGATAGTATCTATATGTCATAAAGTTACCGACAGTTGCTATTTGACAAAAATGGATTGTTAGCACGAGCGAATCACAGTTTCAGAGTTCATGGANNTGAGAGCAAGTGAAGCTCAATGAAGATGAATGTGATTCTTATTGCATCAACTCATTCACCGACAGAGAATGTGATAAGTGCATGATGAAAATGAGAAATTACTACAAACGAGATGCAGATATGAGATGAAAATTGGTGATGTGGAAATTAGAAAGAGATCACTGGCGATAATAATAATGACTGACCGAGAATCAGCCAAACAGTGATGCCTAACAAGATGAGCGCCTGAATGGCACGACAAGCGAGGGTGGTTGATAACGAAACGGGTCGAACATTGTCAGGCATTGGCCACACATTGTAAATAGACACCGAGACGAACACTATCAGCAAACTACCAGCAACGATCAAGTAGATCGGAATCATAGGTTGAACGTGACAAAAATGGATATTAAATGAACCTGAAATTGAAATGATCATAAGATAACGCTCGTCAACGTCATTAGGAAATATCTTGGGAAATATCTTATGGAATATTGCTAAATATCTTATCCAATGAGAAAGAAACTACACTTTAAAATTCATTGAGAATTCACGGTTGTGAAAAATTTCCGAGCGTGTTTTTTTCTTGAGTGATTAAAACGGACCTACAAATGAATGTTGACTTATTCAGAGAGAGTCTATTTACTGCTCTGCCGCGATAAGTATAGTTTCATGCAAACTTACAAACAACCGTGAATTCTCAAGGAAAAGCAGTCTTTCTGGGATAAGAGGCAAAAAGCATTACAAATAATATTGTTTAGCGAAAAAACGCAAGGAAGTGAATATAAGTTTCTGGGAGAGTTTCATGCGGAATCAAGAATGGAACATTTTTTGATATTTGTGTACGTTTTTTTTGCAAGTCACCGACAAAGTCCGAGAAATGGCCTAAATCTGTGAGGTGCAATGCATTGGGAATATGATTTTTCGATCTTACACAATCTAGTATTTGTATCTTCTAACACATGCATAATCCGAATCTTATTCTTGTGCTTTTTTGTTAGACACTGAAATCAATCGAAAGAATTACCAATGAGTATCAATATAACGGCCCATATCCCAAGCATCGATAGCAATAGAATCCATATGTCTGCAAAGTAAACAATAAAGACAATAATAATAACCTCGATGAAATAAGCATGAATAAAGAAGTATTTTGCCACTGAAGGAAAATGGATCAAAAAATGAGAATAGATCGTACATGGTGACACGAGTGTACTGCAATAATCCCCGAAATTATGTACAAATTCGACAGTATCTCCAGAGTTCGAGTATACTTCAGCCAATTTACTGTATGATTTCTTCGTTGACGCAGCACTTGCTGAAAAATACTGTTGCTGACTGTGAGCAAATAACATATCGTTGATTATTGTAAAATATTGCAATACTGTAAAATAACAAATACTGTTAAAAAATATTGCTGATGCTGTATTGTTGATATGTCGAAAATTATTTCGTTGATAAGTCAACCTTTTTAGCTTTCATGTGATTTTCTAAAGTACAGATGAAATGATTGCAATCACATCTGAGCGATTGCATTGATATGTTATGCTTTGTCAGATGAAAAATTCTCATCGAAATTCCTCAAAGGCATCAATCGAGCTTTCCGGCAAGCGCAATAGACATAGTTTGATGTTATGTTAAAATATGGCATTCCATGACGAGCACTAATAATAAAATGACGATTAATTCTCAAAAATAATGGCAATGGGCTGAGGCTAACAACAAGCTTGAAGAGAATAGCAATTCAAAATGTTTTAACAACGAACGCGTTGACATCAATGAATGCAAACAAATTTCATCTATTACGCATACTTCACTCATTAATGAATCTTGAGTTGATCATATATGAGCATTAAAATGTTCACTAATTATTTCACTAATCATACCTTCAGAGCGTGTCGTTGTAGGCCTGTACACTGATGTTGTCGTTCCTCTGTCCAGTAAAGGGCCATCTCGA